AAAGTCGAAAAAAATTGTGAAATAATTCGAGCACGCGTTTATATACTTTTCATAATTTATCTGGGAAACTGCAGCTCGTCTCTTAAAATGGGCTAATGCATGCGAAACTCTAAATTTCTCCAATATAGAATAAAAAGAAAAAGCTGCAACGATACCCGTGAGGAAAATTAAACGAACTCGCTGCACACACCAGCCATAACGTGCACTCGCTGGGTATACTATATATAATCGCAAATCTACGTATTTGAGTCTACAAGGTGCAGCGCTCGGCTACGCAGAGCTGCGCGTGTGATTAGACTCGACTTTGCGCCCTCATATACGCCCTTCTTCTTCTTCGCTAAAGTCGATATCGTAAAGTAAAGCTCCGGCACATACTCACACGCACGCATACACCTTATCTAACGATTTGTCGTATATATACACATATAAGAGGAGCTCGAGAGCTATATTTGCGCTTATATATACGTATGCTCTTTTCTCGCATGCATACATGCATGAACGTGTCTGCAGGGGTAGAAAAGAAAAATTGAATGGCAAAGAAACCGATTCTCTTATTCGTGCGCCGCTGCATCTATCCGTCTGTCTGCGTGGGCTATGGGTGCGTGAGCTCTTGCCTCCTTGCCGTTCGCGACGTCGTTCATCAAATAACGCACGAAAAGTTATAAAATATTTCATACCTTCGTACACCCCCTATGGGGAAGGTAGATAGAAGAGCTTATTGAAAAGGTAATGTGCCGCGGCGAGCGCATAAAAGTCGAAAATTGAAGAACGAGTGGATTTCGTCTGTGACGTAAGACTATTTCATGGGTATATAGAGGGAGAGGGAAAAAAAACCGATCTCGGCAGCTATAAATCATAATGTACATATTCGAATGCGCACGCGGAGCCGCACATCGGTATATATATATATGACTGCGCAGAAGCTTTAAGCGCTTGTAGCGTGCAAAGCGCGCCGAGGGACGTCGCCGCATGCCGCCCTGACCACACCGCACCGCGAGACTTTTTATTCGAGTTTTCTATGTATATTAATGTTATTGAAGTGAAACTTCTTTACGCGCGTTGGGGACAGGATGTCAAGCGTCCGTCCGTACGGACTGCGGATCGTAAGTTTTTAGTAGCGTCCGATTGCTTAGCGCGCTATGATCGGTCGGCGTTCGGCAGAGGGGTGGTTCGGCCGAGCGCCCGCGTTTGCAAGCGCTGCGACCACACATGTTCATGAATTTCATGAATATATGGCCGATTCTGTGTCAACTCAACTGGTCAGAATTTTTTTTTATATCTAAAAAGATTAACACATTGTTTGATATGTGAGGAACGTCGAAAAAATTTTTAGAATATTTATGACCGTCTATGACCTTTTTTCAGAAGCCCAAAATTGACATTTTTCGAATTTTTTCCAAAATTGATCAAGTATCGCAAATATTTCGTTAACCGAACATCGAAAAAACCAATTGTCGCTGCTATTAGCTATATAGATATATTTATTAAAATGCTGTTCATAACCCATTGTTAGATAATATTAATGTTTCAAGTCGATCATTCGTATTTTGTTCGAGCTCCTGTGAACACATCGAAAATATAACGTGAAAACCCGTGTGGCCTTATCGAGACATTTTGACCAATTAAGTGCTCTGAATACTAATACGTGATTCTCATTCAAGAACAGTAAGTATTCAATTCAAGATATTATTTTTTGTGTATTTAATGTGCATTTTGTGCATTCACTGAATTTCTAAATTTTGATCTAACCATTTAAAATAATGGATCCAAAAAACGATATGTCTGTAGATGGATTTGGTGAGGAGGAACCTACAGCTAGTTCCATTAATCTTACCGGGCAAGAAGTAACAGCATTTTCACAGCACCCTCGCGCGCAAGGAAAAAGCCAGTTAGTCGCATAAGAGAGCCGAGCGTTACCGGCATCATCCATCCTAGTGGCTGTTATTCTGCGAATTTCTCAAATTTCGCGGTTGAAAAAGACTCGTCTTCTAGCCGGTTTGGTCCGCGAGATCCACTTGGCTTCATTGGGAATGCGTGTCTCGCGATGAGAAAAGCCGAGGTGCGTTAAGAGATCACGAGACGCCCTATACATGCACAAAAAGCGTCGATCGAGCGAATTTCCTAATGTATCACAGCTCGATTCGATAAAATTTTTTGCCAGATACAACGATCTCAACGATTTAACTCCACTTTTCAATAAAGGTATTTTTTGCATCGTATACGTGCATACGGATTTATTTTTCATTCTAGAAAATTCAGAACTTACCACAGTATTAAAATATGCTGATGATGATCTTAAAAAATAATTTATACATTAATACAAGCTGGAGAAAAGCTTACTCTCAACTATTAGAATTGATCTCTTGTTTGCAGTCTCTCTTTCTTCCGACTCTCTTATGTTCCTAGAACTAGTCTTATTCTACTGCGCGAGCGACGATGTGAGTCGACGCCACCTAGTGGTGACTACTTGAACCATCAACGCTGACGACGGCAAGCCGCTGCTGTATCGGATAACAAAGTCCGCGAGCTCTTCGTGATCTACAAAAAGTTCGAGGCGAACTACGTGGGCGCGAAGTCGGGCCTCGCGCACTCGCACGTAGCCTACAAGTTCGGTTACGCGAGGATAATTACCTATATCGTAACATGTTTTATTCAATTTTAATAAAATAATCATGAAAGCATCGGTACTAAATAGGCTGTATCTCGCGTTGAAATTTTTAAATTTTGATCACGGCATTGGAAAGCTGAGAAAAAAACCGATCGAATAAGTCAATGAAAAAAAAATTTTTCTTTGTTGAGATTTTTAGTACATTTTTCCCCCTTTCAAAAATATGATAAAACGGCTTGCGAGCGTCCGGCTGTGTGCCAGTTACATGCGCATGCCCGTAGACGCGTGTATTCAGCGTCGAATTGGCAAAAGGAACAAAGAGAAGCAACCCAGGGAGCTTGATTCTCGCGGCCGAGCGAACGTAATAAACATTGCAATTCGAAAAGGTCTACAGCTTTCTCTCTTTCTCTCTCTATCTCTAGAAGCGCACTCGGAGCGACGCATTTTGTGCGGGCGCGTGAGAATCGAGTGCTAATACACAGCGACGCGGCGCAAGTCGATTCGAAGAGAGAGAGAGAGAGAGAGAGAGAGAGAGAGAGAGAGACGAGCAGCGCATCGGTTTAAAGTCACTCTTCTCTTGGGCGAGAGCTCAGCCCGGGGAAAAGCTTTGAAGTCGCATGAACAGATATATATCTATATACGTAGCCCGACTAGTCGACAAACGAAATAGAAGTCAAAGTCGTATACGCGGACGGTATGTAGAGAGAGAGAGAGAGAGAGAGACGGTAAAATCGATTTCGCGGTGCTTTGGCGAAAACCGTTTGCCAAGGATGATACATACTATATAGATATAAATATGTAAACAAGCGCAGTCGACAACGGCTTGCACACACTCACACACAGGCACAAATATACATCAACATATATATATAACGATGTTGGGTCTCGTCAAGAGTCGTAAGTCCTTGAATTAATGCCTTCAGAATGTGTTTTCGAACTAATTGTGCGCAGCGGATGCGCCTAATGACCCTTTGAGTTGGATTATGCATGGCACGCTCGCGCCAAGAGCCTCGAATTGTGCCTGCATCAGTTGGTGCGGATAGCAGGTGGAAGAGGTTCGCGAGCGCACGAAATCTTTTTGCCAGCGCGTAAGTCGATTACAAGCCATTACGGCTCGTTTTATTAGCTTTGGCTCTCCCCTCGGTGAAATTAATTTTACAAAGCGCAGAAGAAATAATTATGTATCAAGGTACGTACGTATAGCTCGTAGCTAAGCCGTGCGGAGTAGCTTTGAAAGCCTGGAGAGAAAAATCACTTTGGTTGCTATTTCTGCGTCTGAGAAAGAGAGAGAGAGCTGATTCACGAACCCGGGGTTTTCGCTCCTTACCTTACCTAGAAATCATTATGATCGACTCTCTTAATTGCCTAGAACTAGTCTTATTTTACTGCGCGAGCGACGATCTGAGTCGACGCCACCTAACGGTGACTAGTTGAACCATCGACCGTACGACGGCAAGACGAAAGCGCTGATTCACGAACCCGGGAATTGCGCTCCTTCGTTAAGAGCGATAAGTAAAATTCATGTTTATACAATAGGTTCATCGTAGCTTTCATCATGTGTTGTGGCGAATTAAAAGTCTCAAGAGCTCGTTTCGCGTCACTTTAAGTCGCTCATGCTGAAACGAATAAACGGAAAAAATAGAAGGGTTAAAAAATTATGGGTCCAAAGTAATTAGCACTGTTACCGACCAAATTTTTACTAATCCTTAATATCGTATATCAAAACAGGGGAAAGTAGTTTTTTTTATCATAATAATTACTTGTGGTGCATTGTGGATAGACAACACTAACGGTTCAAATATGTCGCAACACGAATTTCATTGTGGATGACAATGTTGTATCAGACATAATGGTTCTTTCTCGGTCAACCTACGTTGATAGTCATCGAATATCTCTTTACTACTCTTTCTCGATTTTGCCGTTGCTGCTCGGCCCTCTCGCGATCTTAGATTTGCTCTTCTTCTATCTTTTTCCGTTCATCGTCTGAACTCTCGTCGTGACTACTCTCTGAATTGTTTGACTGGACGCCACCTACAGAGCTCTTGTTGTTTCTCTCCCCGTGTAAGTATAATGTAAGTCTCGGAGTAATACGATTCTTTTATATGTTGAAAAAATGATAAAATTAGGCAGTCTCAACTTATTCATATTCATTTTTGCATTGTTTCGAATGAAAGATTGCTTGAAAAGTAGCAAAAATAGAGGATTCCCACTGGATGGTATTCATGTTTGAAAATAAATAATGCATAACATCTAAAATATTATCAAAATTATCGTTTCGGAATTTCAAAACATAATATAAGCTATCTTGAATTAGTAAAATAAAAGAATTAAAAAAAGAGATTTGATAAAAAATTAGAGGAATAAAAAAACCATGTGGGGTGTATGAAACATATCTTATGAATATATTTTTATTTATTAGAAAACATTTATACTTGAATTTTAATTGCGTGAGGCACATTTACACATTTTCTGGTGCACTGACGCGCATTAGTGAGTTAAAAATCTGACTTACATTTACATTTTGTGCCACAGTTTATGCATTTACACTATAAACGTCACGTATCGATATTTACATATTAAAGAATTCATCGCTGTTTAGAATTTAGATATAAACTCAAAATGGGCAAAATGATTATTTAAGTTATAAATACAGTAAAAAAATAAAATAAAACGTATGTGCATTCGATGACAGCATAATACCGTGAAAGTGATCGAATTTCGTCTCTATATTTGAATGAATTTTGACGTTTAGCATTCCTCAAACAAGAACTTTAAATTAAGACTCATTGCTTGTTAACATAACATCGCTGACATAGCCCTTTTGGCCTTTATAAAACTTTTTTCGAAATACATTATGTAATTCGAAGTAATTTTCTTCGTTGTCATCAGTTACTTTGTGGTTAGACAAGCTATTTATAGCCGTACCTACATCTGGAACATATTTTATTTGTTCTTCATGAACTATTTTTTTATGTTTCTTCGCGTTGCTCTGATCTGGAAATACTTCCTCCTGACTCGCGTTGCATTCATAGCCCTTTTGACCTTCGTGAACTATTCCACGATGATCTGCCAAATGCTGATTGGTTCCACACGCTTTTTGGCTTCCATGAATTCTTTTTTGATGAATTGTCAAGGACATTCTTCTTTTAAACGTTTTTTTGCACACATCGCATTCGTAGTCCCTTCGTCCTTCGTGAACTGTTCGCTCGTGTCTCATCAAACTGACCTTCTGCGTAAATGTTCGTTGGCACACATCGCACTCGTAGTCTTTCCGTCCTTCATGAACTGCTTTAGTATGAAGTTTTAAGTAATTTTTCAATGCAAACGTTTTTTTGCACATATCACATTGGTAGTCTCTCCGTCCTTCGTGAACATTTCTTTGGTGCACTATCAAGTTAAACTTCTGCGTAAACGATTGATGGCATACATCGCAAATGTAGTCTTTTTGTCTATAATGAACTGTTTTTTGATGTTGTTTCAAGTGATCCGAACGCAAAAATACTTTTTGGCACACATCACATTGGTAATCCTTTTGTCTTTTGTGAATTTTTTTATGCCTCATCAAGCCTTTGTGATATGCAAATACTTTTTGGCACACGTCGCATTCGTAGTCTCTTCGTCCTTCATGAACCGATTTTTGGTGTTCCTTCAATGCGTACAAACGTGTATGCGCTTTGTGGCACACGTCACAAACGTAGTTTTTTCTCTTTTCGTGAACAGTCTTATAATGTCTCGCTAAATTTTTCCCAGAAATAAATATTCTTCGACATACGTCACATGCGTAGTTTTTTTTTTCTTTATGAACAATTTTGTTATGATGCTTTACATCTAATACTTTCGCAAATGTTTGTTTGCTTACATCGTGTACATAATTTTTTCGTCCTTGGCGAACTGATTTTATATGTGTAGCCGAATTATCCTCTCTTTCGAATGTTTTTGGTCGTAAGTCGCTGGTATAATTATTTTCTTTGGTCCTATCCATTGTTGTTGTTCTTCGATGATCTCACTTGAATGTTTTACAACGTTTAGTTTCACAACTGATGATTAGTTATAGATAACTTACACAACTGAGGAATGTGACCGTCGGGTTAAAAGTCAAAATTACTAATTTGAAATATACATTTCACTACTAACTTTCAATAACTGACTCAAAAATATCATACTTATGTTTTCGTTTGTAACAAGTATTTGTTTTTGTTTATATTAAAAGTCAGAATTAACAATTATGTCGTGTCGTTCACTGAAAAAGTTTAGTTTACCTCAATACTCCTCGGAATATATTTGATTTCATTAGTATGTGACTTTTCCCCTTCCATCTTTACACTCCACTTTCTCTTTTGATTCATTAAAATCTAAGAGTCAAATTGTTACATTTTTATTGCATAATATTCTACTTTCATACGATGATTTAATGCTCATATTGAAATTTACGCGGTGCAGATTAGATACGAAAGTAATTATTGCAACGACGATGCATAGAGCTGTGTCGTGGCCATTCGTGTATTGTGCATACGAAAAGACGTATTCTCGCTCCGTCAATATGTCCGGCAGATATTCTCGCTTGTGCGTAGAAGTACTGTTCTGATGGTAGCTCGAGACAATAACAAAGCTTGAGAATCCCGAGAAATTAGGCGTCTGTCCACAACTCGGGTTCTAACGAATGAGCAGAAAGAGTGAACGGAAAATGATAATTATCTAACGGTCTCAACGTCAGACGCTGTAATGGTCGCATAAAATTATCAGAGCTAAGTAACTATTCCCGTCCACGTGGTAAATAGGTCTCGATATAGTGTTAGCGTCAAGACGATTACTATCTAGCGATCTCGACGATAACTGCTGTAATCGTCGTATAAAAATATCGGAAGTAGTCGACTGTCCTCAACTCGGGTTTTAACGAATGGACAGAAAGATTGAACAAAAAAATGATAATTATCTAACGGTCTCAACGTCAGACGCTGTAATGGTCGCATAAAATTATCAGAGCTAAGTGACTATTCCCGTCCACGTGGTAAATAGGTCTCGATATAGTGTTAGCGTCAAGACGATTACTATCTAGCGATCTCGACGATAACTGCTGTAATCGTCGTATAAAAATATCGGAAGTAGTCGACTGTCCTCAACTCGGGTTTTAACGAATGGACAGAAAGATTGAACAAAAAAATGATAATTATCTAACGGTCTCAACGTCAGACGCTGTAATAGTGGCATAAAATTATCAGAGCTAAGTGACTATTCCCGTCCACGTGGTAAATAGGTCTCAATATAGTGTTAACGTCAAGGCGATAACTATCAAACGATCTCTGCGATAACCTCTGTAATCGTCGTATAAAATTATTAGAAGTAGTCGTCTGTCCACAACTCGGGTTCTAACGAATGGACAAAAAGAGTGAACAGAAAAATGATAATTATCTAACGGTCTCAACGTCAGACGCTGTAATAGTTGCATAAAATTATCGGAGCTAAGTGACTATTCCCGTCCACGTGGTAAATAGGTCTCGATATAGTGTTAGCGTCAAGACGATTACTATCTAACGATCTCGACGATAACTGCTGTAATCGTCGTATAAAATTATTAGAAGTAGTCGACTGTCCACGACTCGGGTTCTAACGAATTTAATTGTGCAACTCGTCCAATCAAATAAACTAAAAGTTTCCATAATCTATGAGTAAGTTATTTTATTTTTCAAATGACTCCCAAATCTCGCTTGCAAACTTACAATTAACATAATTTCACTAAACTTGTATGTAAAGTATTTTAAAAACTTTTCAAAATTTTAATAATTCTAAGAGTTGATGGGTTGAGTGTTTTCCAGGGACAACCGTATAGTGAGTTAATGATAATTATTTCAAATAAATTATACAATTTATGTTGTCTTGGCTTACAGCCGTTTCGTGATCATGTCGTTACATTTATCAGTTACTTTCCTGGATACGTGGAATTCACACTATATCGATCATGAATATTCAATCAACCGCTACCTAATCTATAATCTATGACGTTCGCCTTGAAAAAAATACCATCTTCAACAGATATGAATAAAGTGGACATTGCTAAAAGAATTCGATAATCTTTATTTTTAAAACTTTTTTATTTAATAATTTTTTCTAGATTCTGACCCCGGATTCGAAAAGTACATTAAATTTTACGCGAGAAATGATGTCTGAAAATTTTTTCAAACAATTTCTAGTCGGTGTTATTCATCGCTATAAATGTTGTCCAAAAATGGTCATTTCAGGCGTTAAAGGGTTAATATTAAAATACATTTTTTGTCACCGATAGAGCAAAACATGACTTATTGATAATAAAGAAAACATTTAGAGCATCGATTTTTTAAGCTATGAATCAATGACCTCAAATAAATCATAAAATTATACTTGGAAAGAAGAAATTCAAAAAGCTTGTAAAAAATAAACTTGACGATAAGAGTATCTTCCATCGCATACCTCAATTTCATGCTTATTAAACTTTTCAAATATATTATATTTATACAATGCAGCGGCATCGACATGGCTTCTCTATCTTCAACATAATGATCACATTCCAAGACGAGCGAGAATAAAGTCGAGTCCTTTTGAAACATCGTCCCGGAAGCAGCAGCAGCAGCAGCGGCAGAAAATTCTTATGTACCCAAGCCATATCAATGCGCCCGAGAGAGCTCGAGCTCGGTAAAGCGCAAGGACGCGAGCGAGGCAACGATATACCGCGCCATTGCAAGCCCTCATCTTCTTCCTCTTCTTCGTCGTTGTCATCGTCATCGTTCTCGTCGTCGTCAAAGTTTCTTGCAAAGTTAAAGTTATAATTTCCCGCTGAATTTCGTACGCACGCACACATACAAAATTTGTATGTATAAGTTCGCGCTCGTTTTCTCTCTCTCTCTCTCTCTCTTCCCTTTTCATTGTTACGAGCCGAGTTTGTCTTATATCAAAAGGATTCGAGGCGAGAGACAGAGAGAGAGTCGGGCAACGTAGAGCATATATATATTTGCGCGCGCGCGTGCTCAGTGCTCGTCGAGGTGTTAAACGAATTTCGCCGGCGCCACACACATTGCTCGCGAAAGGTGGAAAGCCTCGAGAGCTGCCGCAGCTTTGGATGGGGGTCGGATGAAGAATACAACGCATATATACGCGCGCGCGGAAGGTGCAACTTTAGAAACGTGACAATTGCCCCCCGCGACCGAGCACTCTCGGCAGCAGCGGCAGTAGCAAAAGTACTACAGTAGTTTTGGTTTCAAGCGCGCTTGACTTTTTGACGCGCGCCGCACGAGTTTCAACGCGTATTTAACTCGTTGGGCGGGCTTGTAGTTGTACTTATTAACGCGAGCGTTAAATGTACGGATTCGTGCTCGTTAAGGAGAGGTTTGCTGTAGGGCTTGAATAAAAACTAGCTGCGCTTTATTTGGCGTAAATGTAACATTTATTTTTGGCATTTTTATTTTTGTTTTTCGTTACGACATTATAGATTTACACATATTTATTTCGAAACGAAACAACGAAGGAAACAACAGAATCGACGTATAGAGACTGAATATAAACTTCGAACGCGATACATTTTTATTTCTCGATACACACTTCGATTGAATTCTAGCGAAAAACTAGTAAAAAACTCATTTGAGGTGACAAAATTTATAAAAATGTTTCTTACACTCGAATACATCGTCACAATATAACTTATCGAAGTCTCAAGACAGAAAAATCGTTCGTTTTTTTAGTACATTATACGCAATTATGCGGCGAAGCATTCATACATTATCTTAAGAACTATTTACAACTTTGATTGAAAGTATTGGGCGACCTTGATCTTTCTCATTATGTTTGTATTTTTTTTTATCTTACAAAACAAAAATTTGCATCTTATCATCTATCACAATACATTGTAAATACCATCTTTTTGTAATTGTAACGCAAAAGTCGACTCTTTGGTGTACTTGGTGTATGTGTATAAATTTGTATTTTACAATTCACGTAAGACGCGTACATATTGCGAAAACAAAGAACAGGCCCAGAGACTAAATTTTAATCGATATCAAAAAATCGCTCGTCTCGATTATTTCACAAAAACACATGTCGTATACCATAATATGATACATTTAAATGTACATTATAAAAATATTTGGCACGAGTACTTTGAGGGTGGAGGGCTGGGTGGACAATGGTAACAATGGCACGTACAGCGAGTGCTATTACACGAAAGGAACGCAACGGAACTACATGTATCGTAAAAGTGAGAAAGAGCGTAAACGTGAGCACGTCATAATACGTAAGCGCGAAGGATAAAAAAGAGGAAAACAAAAAGGAAAAATCGTCTTACTTTGTACGATATACATCGATGCAAGTACAGCCAACGATCAAAAGACATTTATGTATTTTCACTTTTTTTTTTATTTTGGGTTTTGATCAAAAAATTATCTCTTACGTATAGTATAATATACGAAACTGTTCGATTATTTACCTATACACACCGTAATTAATGTTACACGATAGTTTTTTTTTTGTTATATTTCTATGAATTTTATTTAACGAGTAGTGTCGTTTCTGCAGGACAATACGAACTGTACTGATTATTAATTATATAGAAATCACAGCCATAGCTTTGAATACGAAATTTTAGATTCGTACTTGTTTCTTTTTAAGATCTGCTCTTATAATTTATACGGTAATTCACATTTATATATTGAGAAGAAAATTCATTATTTCTTATTTTTTTCAAAGAAAAGTCTCCCTGTTATTCTACTTATAACTACATAGACATCGAGTCAAAAATGTTTTGAAGAACAAAAAGAGGAGGGTATAGAAAGCCGTACGTACTTACAGGCGTATTTGTAAAGCACTAAACGATTTCGTACTACGACGATGTAAAAAATAGAGGGGACGGGTAGAGGCTAAAAAAGAGAGAGAGACAGAGAGAAAAAAATGTCAAACAAGGATTTGTCTGAATTCGAAAAGTATCCGACCTCGTAGGGCGACGAACGCGCGACATCGATTTTTATACCTTCTTCTACGATCTACCCTACGTTACACATATAGATATAACTATACACGACTGTCTAACGTCAAGGAACACAATCGCACATCTTGTCTCCTCTCGTGAATCTTCCGACTTTTTCCCTTTTTTTCCTTTGTTTTTTTTTCGTTTCACTGTTATATAGCTGCCCATTTCTATTCTCGTGCGCTCCTCGGAGCTCCCCGAACGATCGAGGAGCTCGAGAACTGTTGAGCTTTTAAACGGGTATAACGGAGTACCGCATCCATTTGGCTAGAAAATAAGAAACATTAGAATCGCAGGGAAAACAACGAAAAAAAAAAGTACAGACACACAGATGTACGATTGTGCACTCGATCGAATAGATGCTTACAAGTACATAAGTTTAAAAACAGTGACTATTCCATATAGAGACCCGCGTGCAGCCGACGAACGAAATGCGCGTCGTGTCGCGGTTTTTACTTTTTTTATTAATTCAAAAAATCGCGACAATCGGCACATTGCGTCGCGTCGTCGAAGAAAGCGTGCATCGTCGTGCAAAGGGCCTGTATACAAGCTACCGGCTAAGTTGTTAGGAGGGACCGTGATATCGGACGTGTTTTATTTTTCAATATACTTCATCTTAATAGATTCATTTTTCTATAATAGATTTTTTTTCATTTAAAATTTTCGTTTAACTTTTAGTGGTTTTTTATTTTCGCTTCCAGCATATGTATAGGATAATTAGAGGCTTAATACAATTGTACGTGCGTCGATTAAGAATCGCGAAGAGGATCGCGAGAAGAGACGTTTTTTGTCCTAATCTAATCGAATTATAGCTCGGTCAAGGTATATTTTTTGTTTTTCATTTATCTCATTCGAATGATAATTTGTTTAACATCACTTACGGTTACGTTTTCTACAGCGACAAGCGACTAAGTAATTTTTCTTTATTTTTTTTTTCTTTGTTGCACTTCGACAATTAACGATTAAAAAACTAGCTCCGCGATCGATTCGAGGAAAATTAATCGGGCGTCTGACCTTTTTTCTATCAATATGCAATTTATATTAGTCATTCGACGTTTCTGTCCGGCGAGGGATTCGATCGCGCGACGCGAGCGCGCGGCTGAGCCTCGCTCGGCTTGACGAGTGAATTTTTCAACTATTTCTCTCGGTGTTGACCCTGTTTCGCGCGCAAAAAAAAAAGCATCCGTAATTTTTATACTCGCACAAAAAATAGATATCGAGTCCGATTTGAAATTTTCATAACACATCGATTATTTCGCCTACGCCGTTACTTAGTTATGCTGAATTAATGCAGGTAAAAAAACGATTGCACTACCCGACTTGATTTACATACAGACACGTATATCGTATATATATTTTTGCGCCAGAACCTGGACTAAGCTTTGATTTTGCATATTTTAATTCAATTTCATCTAAGCGCGCGCACACGTACACACGAGTGTACGTTTGCATCGTGCCCGATGTATATATTAATGTAAATATATATTGCACCAAGTCACTGCCTGAAATGACTTTAGACAAAGTCGTTGTACCTCACATTTAATTTTGTAATTATCGTTGAACAATGATATTAACAAAAAAACAAAAAAGAAAGAAAAATTTGGCTACTCAAGGGAAGGATGCTAATTCGTACAAAAAGTATGGCAGTTTTCGTCTTACTTTTAAAAAATAGAGAAAAAACCCAACTACAGAGTCGTTTATATTTTGTTCGTTTGGTTTTTTTTTGGTTTGTTTTCTACATCGTAGCAAAAATAAATCGGTCTTCGTACATAGATATTTTTATATATTACAACCGTATATCACGCGATGCGCAGACTATTTCGAGAAATGTACAATATATTTTAAAATTTGATCCTGCAGCGTGCGCGCGCGAGAGCAAAAAAATTCGTTCAACGTTTATGTGCACACGTAGTATAATTGCATAAATCGCACGATTTTGTAATCGAAAGTTTCACGATGATAATTAAGTACGCATTGTAATATATATACGGCGTTTTTATAGGAAAAAATTGCAATATATTTGAAATGTACACAGGAATGAATATCTTTGTCGCTTTTTTTTTTCAACGAGTTTTTTCGCTCGTTTCCGTTTCCGGATTACATCGATCATGCTTCGATGTACTTAAACTTTATAATTATGCACAATAATTTATTTTTCTTGAAATATATATATCTTATGATCTAATACTTTGGTAAAGAATCGCAGGATAAATCCCGAAATTTACCCTTTGTGTAATAGCTTTGCGCTCCTTTGATTATACAATTTTTCCTTTCTCTTTCTCTTACTATAATTATTAATTCATATTTTTATTATTCATTCTTAAATAATCGCGTCGCATAAATCCGACACGAAGATCTATACGATTACGTTCGTAGTTTTTCCGCTCGTTAATTTACTTTTTTTTCTCTTCTTAAATTTTTTAAAGCTATAATGGACGTTTTGGTCTGTCACGGGGTGCCTCCGCCTTTTTCATTTAGATGCGACAGAATACACAAGTGATTTTGGTATGATACATAATAATGGCCGTTATTATCATTTTTTGTTTGTCTTGGCAAACATCCTGATAAAAATGCTATACATTTTATGATCCATTTTTAATAATCACACTTTTTTTGAACAATCATTTTATACTTTGCCTCTTGCAGATCAATAGATCAATGATACTTTAAATGAAAGTAAACGGTAATTTCTCGGTCATCAGGTAATTAACGTTGAGCATTTCTACCAGGAACATGAATTCATAAAGAAGGAAATCAGACCTTCGCCTCGTATCAATGTACAATTCCTCCACAACAGTCGTAAAAAATTACAAAAAGCCAAAAAAAGAAAATATAGAATTATAATGAAAACAAAAAGAGAAACGAAAAAAAAAGTAGACGCGAGATCTCGCCTGGGCGAAATTGCGAGAGCTCTCTCGCGCCGGTGTTGGCTATTTGTTCATTTCTCCTGTACATTGTCGAGTTCGCTTGCTCGCGTGCGGCCATTCATATTTCGAAGCTTTGTAAATCTCTGATGAAAAAAAAAAAAAAAAAACACGCTCTCAGTTTTTATCAATAAATTGCAGTCAGGTAGCACACGTAGACCCACACACACACACACAGACGCACACAGACTCACGGACATACGCGCGTGCACACGAGGCGCTTTAATAATACAATATATATATCTATAGATATATAGGACGGCGAACAATAATCCGATTACCAATCGTTATTATACACGCGCTCGCTTATACTCGCGCGCGCGGAAAACTCGTTTTCACGCACAATCAACATGTTTGAACAATGCGAGAGAGAGAGAGAGAGAGAGAGAGAGAGAGAGAGAGTATAATCGAATGGGGGATTTTTGTAATTCAACGTCGCTCGCTCGCTCGCGCGAAAAGAAAAAGTTAATTTTACCCCTTGTTGTACGCGACTCGGATGTATGGAACGAAGTATAAAAAAAAAAAAAAAAAACATTATTTTTTCCCCCATTTCACGTACAGAGCACACACAGTCGATCGGTTAGCGCGCGCATTATTAATCCATACTACGTATACGCTTCGAGGCCGCAGCCACCGCGCGCTACGCCAAAATAAAAGAAAAGTAATCGAATAAAATTGTGTAATCACAAACGTGTACGCGTCTCCTTTATCTCTCGCTTCGTTCGTTCATTCATTTTTTTTAAATTTCATTTCGGTATAGTCTTTCGTTGCAATTTTCACGAAATCGTAAACGACGACCTCGTATAGGTGTATAACGTAATCATCATCGGGTCGGCGGCGGCGGAGGCGTGGACGGGCAGCAGTAGCACTAGGTCGGGCTCGGGTCCTCGTAGGCTTTCTCGTAGTCGCGCCGCCTGATCACGGCGAAGTGCGTCATCTGGAAGGTGTTGGTCTTCTTGCAGCCGCGCTCCAGAGTGCCGGTCATGCTGTAGCCCATGTTGAAGTCGCTCGACGAGACGTTGGACGTCAGGAACAGCTGCGCCGTGAGAACACAAAAGAACGACGAAGATTATATAGAGCGTGCAAAATCAATTCTCTCATGGGCTATATAGAGAGGTATAGATAAGATACGTGTACGTGTGAGTATATGTGCGTGTATAACAATGGTCAATGGGGTTACTATGCGCGTTCTAGGATACGGGGACAAGCCACAGGAGCAGCAGCAGCAGCAGCAGCAGCAGCCGTGTAATCGAGTCTCGCTTGACCCATTAAACGCTCTCGGGATCGTATAAAGCGCACACACACACAGTGCAGTGAATGGCAGCGAACTTCCCGAACGCAGCAGCAGCACACCCTATTATCCATAACTCGGAGAGGTACGCAAGTGAGAGAGAGAGAGAGAGAGAGAGCCGATACAAGGGAAATTTCGAGTGGACTAACGATAAGAGCGTGTANCCCCCCCCCCCCCTGAGGCGAGAGAGAGAGAGAGAGATTGCATCGAGTCTGCTGCAGAAGGGCGTTAACGCCCCCCTTGCGTGGGTGCTGCACACCGTATTACGTATAGCTGTATAAGCAGGCGCTTCTGAATACAGAAGCTCGTTATATTGTATGTATATAGGGGGAAAGAGAGAGAAAAGGAGCTGTAGAGAAGATTCTTTCACTTTTATGCCACGCGCGTAAGAGGCAAGTATAACATGTTCGAAAAGAGCCGCTGCTGTTCACGCGATATCTATTAGAATAATGACTTTCCGTCGCGCGAGCGGATATGACACACGCTCGAACGAGCTTCTAAATTTTTTCTTTTTTCATTTGCTTCTTTTTGCAAAGGATAAAAGAGCTGGGTGTGTAATATCTCCTTCGTTCGGCAGCGATAACGTCGCGAGCGAGCTCTTTCAAAAATTGTAAGCCCTCCCTATACTCGCGATCGGCATGAGAGTACACCTTATATTATAGGCTTCTCCTTCTTTATGGAGTTATGATTACGCGCGCAGCATTGTCGTGTATCCGCGTATAGAAATTTGCGAAGCGACGATCGGGTGCACCCCCTGGCCGGAACGATCGACGCGCGTCCAAGTCGCGAGCGAGAGGATTTAACGTATCCCGTCTCTGCGTAAGTGCGGGATCGGCTATGGTCGAAAGGAAAAAAATTGAAAAGGCAAACTGGTCGAGTGGTTTTAATGGTGTAGTTACTGATCTCTATATATGTGCATGAGTGTGTATTTGTGCATTTGTTAGCTGTTGATTTAAAATACATACCTTGAAATCGGCATCGATGGTCTGCCTCTTGAAAGAGCCAATTATGTAGAGAGTGCCCGTGCCCGTGTCGACCATTTTCGCTTGTGTACTGTATCTGCGAACAATCGGAAGCGAAAGAGAGAAGTTTAGTAAAAAAAACATTGATTACGAGTCAGTTCGATTGTGATTATTATTTTTCTTGTTTCGTAAAATAAAAGAACTGAAACAATTACGTCTTATACATAAGCTACGACTAAGGCTTTTCGAGAGTATTTATTCTCCCACACACACACTTGGGCTTCTGTACTAAATGCATATAGAACGTGTACAAAGAGCTTGACGCTCAAAATTATACTACACAATGCCAAGAGAGTAAACGGACTTGAAAGCTTGTCTCTCTCTCTCTCTACTTTCGCTCGCTCGAGTGCCATAGTGTAGTTTCGAGTACTTATGGACTATGAATGCGCCGTCATCGATAAAGCGCCTCTGTGTGTGTGCGTGTGCCTATTCAACAGCGCGCGGCAATCGTCGCCGTGCATCGCATTGATTTAAAGAGTAACAACTCTCCGTGTATACATCACCAAAGCGAGAAAGGGAGAGAGAGAGAGAGAGAGAGAGAGAGAGAGAAAATGGAAGGAAAAGAAAGAGCTTTTACGCCGGATGAAACGAAACAATCGACACTGAATAAACGCAGCGAAACTCTTTCAATGATTAACTGTCTCGGTGTCAAAGGCGACACTCGCAGCTCTGCTTGACGTTAATAAATCGAATCGATGCGCAATTCATAATTTTTACGTATTTTTGGGTAAAATATCGTTATATTTAATAATACACAAAAATTTACGTAAATAAACGAGAATTTTTTCAGATTGACGAGGATGGAATGAGCCGACGATGCATCGTCGACGATCACAGTGGTAGGAATAGTATTAAAAATGCATTAAATCTCAGTGTCAAGCGTATGAGGCACCAATCGAAAATCTAGACATAGTTTTAGATTCGGAAAACCATGAGGAATCCAAAACTGTTTCCCTTTTTTATTTAGCTATAACCATCCGTAGGGGAGACCGGGGTGTGTTGGCATACGAGGTAAGTTGGCACACCGCATATTTCTCCTTATCAGCTACTTGAAAAGAGATGGCGCTATCATTAATTGAAACACTCTATTATGATGGAAGTTTGTACAGAAAATCAGTTTCGAATCAGTGTTGAGCACCGAAGCAGGTGTGATCGAAATATTTCCACAGCCCGAGGAGAATATTAAATTCTACGAAAACTTCGATTATTTTTCCATCGAATAAAGTAATCGTGATAATTTTGTTTCTATTATATTAAGATACCTCATGAGTAATGTACCGAAGTGTTGAATTAGTGTTCGAATAATGCCCTTTGTTATTAAGTGTTTTTTTATAATGTCGGAGTGATCAGGGCATATTGACACTAAAATTCTGGGGGACATTGGCACATATTTTTTGTCGAAAAATTTTTTTTTTCAAAATGGTCCGCAATTATATTAGAAAAACAAACAGAACTAGTGCGACAAAAGAAGACATACTTCGTGCGATAAAAAGTATACGATATTAAAAAGCTAAAATATGTGCAGTTTCGAGCTTCTACAGTTGTAAATGCTGAGGGACTGAATTTTATATAACAAAATTACATATGACATCAGTGTAATATTTGTTTCAGCCTTATGATATTAATAATAGTAGCTTCAATGAGTATCGCAATAAAACTATATTTCAATGAGTTTTTTTGTGGAGTCGTCCAAATTATTATTGGGATAATCGGCAGTAGCACACAAAAATAGGGAGTATGTTTAGCGTTTTATGTCTGATACTACACGTACACTAGTATAGGTATATATGAACACAGGTTTTCGTAATTCGCGTGCCTCTATTATATATTAGGATACACGGATGTTGCTAAAAAAGTATACAGCACTCCATCAGCCCCCAAACAATGCTATGTAAAATTTTCAGATCGATTGGTTTATGCCTGCATGAGTTATCGCAGTTAGAGTAAAACATCGGAAATTAGCAATATCGAATTTAGTTGCTTCAAATTTATTGGTCATGACGTTAAATTCATTAAATGTTAAATAAAAAATAATTCAGAGTAAAATGAACTCCAAATAAAACGCTATTTTTATTGTGCTAACTTGCCCCAAAGCTTTGCCAACTTACCCCCCGCAGGGGCAAATTGACACTTGTGTCTTCACTACATAAAAATGCCTAAACAGGGAAGAAATATTTTTTGATTGAGATAAAAGTACATACATACAGTTAGGTCTGTACAAGCTCTATTTATCCGTGAAAAAAATTTATAGATAAAAACTTAATATCGATTAAAAAACAACCGTTGTTTAAAAGTAGTGCCAACACACCCCGGTCTCCCCTACTGTACGAACAATGATAGGAGCGTAAGAATGATGATTTTATTTAAAATTTGTTTTTACGAAAATTAGTCGCTGAAATAGATCACTCCGATTATATTCAATAATAATTATCTTTAGAATGGGTTTTGCGTGCCATTGTGATGAATAGATGTCAAAATAAGTGTTACAAGAAGTTCTTGGATATGAAAAAAATAAATTTTAATTTTTTATAAAATATTATTAACATAAGTTAATGAAATTTAACTAAATTGATGAACATTCCTCATTGGATCGATGATTATCGTCAGTTTTTCTCATCGAGAAAGTGAATGAAATGTTTTGACAAAATCAAATTAAGCAATTTTTATAAAAAAATTGATTTAAACAATTTTAATACTATTTTTAATACTATTCCGACCACTGTGCGATGGTCTCAAAAACTCGATACTCCATTATAAAAACTGTAGAATCGGTAAGAATCGTGTACTTCAAAATATAGCATAAATTATCGGATTCTCAAAAAGAAATTTTCGATTCAAATTTCGAGACGGTACATGCTGCGCACTGCGACGCTTGCATCGCAGCTCGCGCGCAGACGCAGTCGATCCAAGTTTTTTTGGTGAAAGTAGCCTTCGCAAGTACAACGACCACGTTTTTTTTCTCTCGTGGTGTGGTGTGCGTTAGTTGGTGCCGACTCTGCCACTGTCAATTGCGACCTCGTGTTCGTGCGGTCTAACCACATTTTTTTTTCCTCGTGTCATAGAGAAAAAGTATCGTCGCGTGTCAGTACATATTACGACGCGGCAGCGATTGCAATAAGTGATTTAAAAGTGAAAAATATCTTTATTTGTGTGGGTAAACGCAAAAAACGATGTCTACGCCGAAGGACCAACGAATACTGAAAAAATTTAAGTGCTTACGAGACAAGGTTAATTGGAATATCGAAGAAGAACGATGTAATTTTCTCGTTCAACTCCATGTACTCGATGATTCCGATATTACGATTCCCGCGATTAATCTCTTTTTGCATCCCGAAGATATTCAGCGTCTTCTGTGGGACTCCATAACTTACGAGCACGAAGTGTTTGGTTATCATCCAGGCAATGGCTTTATTGAATGGGCCGCTATAGAAGGCTACAAAGACGAGCCTGCAGTTGACCAGAATGGAATTATATCGCCACGTCGCGCCACACTGATACATCACGCGGTTAAAAACTGCGAGATTAAATCCCGTCCCTGGATTATACTGTTCGCTCACCTTTTTGAAATATACAATAGGTTTGATGTAAATTACACCGACGAGTCAGGCTACACGCACTTTCATGCGGCCTGCCAGTTTAGCTGCGACGAAGCCGTTCGAGGATTTCTCGAGCAAGGACAGGATCCCAATTGTATCTGGGCGGAAACGGGTGATTCGGCACTACACATTGCCTTAAAATATGCAGTATTGATCAGTGATGTAATGGAGATGCTGCTGAGAGCAGGCGCCAATCCAAATTCAGCCAATAACGAAGGCTCGACACCTCTGCATATCCTGGCCCAACAAGACTTCGATGGTGAGATGTTAGAGCGATTCCTTCGAATCAATAGCGAATTGAATCGGTCGGTGCAGATCAACGCCCGTGACAAGTTGGGTAATACGGCGCTTCACTTGGCCGCGGATCAGAAGACGTTGGAGGTGCTGCTGAAAACGGGAGCCGATCCGAACGTGGCCAACGACGAGGGAATAACTCCTCTGCATATTATTTGCCAACGTTGTAACTGCTTTGCGGAATTCTTCTTGAAAATCAACGACGAGCTCGATCAGCGAGTGCTGATCGACGCCCGCGACAAGTTGGGCAGGACACCCCTTCAATGGGCGGTGGCGCGTGGATTGCCGTACGTAGTCGAGAGTTTGCTGAGTTGTGGCGCCGATCTGTCGACCTTCGTACTTCCCACTTCGGATGAGTTCGACGAGCGCTTCGAGCCGAGGCTTCGACGTGGCCCAAAGATTTGGTATGGATTACCATGTGGCCTTCTAGTCATCATCGAGAGCCTAGAGAAAAGGGGATACGAGCTAGACCGAAGCGACGCCATGATAATTATGAAATTATTCAACAAGTACAAATTGTTCGAGGTGCTGGAGGATTTTGACGAGCTTTGGTACGAGGACGAGAAGCTCGCGAACGAAGCGAGAGAGAAAATTATAAAATCGGACTTGTCGCTCTACGATCTAATCCATTCGCGACCCCGAGACGCGGCGAAACGACTGACGTACGAAGACTGCTACTCGTTAGCGAGAACAGGTGATAAGGCTTGTTTTAGGCACGCGTGCGAGATGACGTCGAGAAAATTTTTCCGGCGCTGGGCACTGGATCCTTTCATGGAGCTAATACACTATCGACTGCCGATTCTCTGCTGCGACATGATCGTCGAGAAGCTGCCGAACAGAGATTTGTATAACATTTGCTTGGCGGCCGAAGACCAAACCGATAAGGACGTTAAAATAAATGTGATAACAAATGTAAAAAAATGTAATAATGAAAGACCCGTCAGAGCTCGAAAAGCTCCAAAAAGGCTGCAAATTGAATGGTGAAAATAAACGATGTACAAGGAGTTAATAATATGATGATGTATAGGATATTTGTTAATAAGCATATTTTCAATATTTTTTTATGTCTGTTTTCATTCAATTGTGTATATTCTTCGTGCAATTCTAATAAATGAATAAACTAAAAAAAATTACTTTTTCACATCTC